ATTACTATGTGTTCCACAAAAAATTTCATCTTTGTCATCCATTTACATTCAAAAAAAGGAGTTCTTTATAAATTAAAAATAATTGTCATAAATTCGTAGTAAAGAACTTTATAACAAAAACATTTTAAATTACTTTAAAAGATAAATTATTTAAATTTTGTAAATAATATTATGGCCAGCCAAATATTTTAAATAAAAACAATCAAAAATTGACTTTAATTGTCAGAAAAAAACATGTTACAAAACCACTAAGTTAACTTGTATATACCGTAAAATCTTGATTATAATACGCACTCGTGTATAATACGCCTGCTTGATTTTGCGCGAAATTTCTACGAAAAATTAAAATTCCACTATAATACGCACCTAATGCTTATCAATGTTTTATTTGAAAAATCTTTAAAATAATTTTAATCCAGTAAGTTTCTTAAAATTCAAAACAATTACTTGAAATCAGAAAAATTACTCAGCAAAACAAAACTTAACGCAGAAATTATATTCCTTGTGAAAATGAGCGTTTTTCTAATAAAAAAATATTTTTTTTGAATATTGCGTATAATTTACAGTTGAAGTAAATTTAATGCATATTATTTTTTTTAAAAATAAATTACTAAAAAATTTTAAATTTTAAAATGCAGCCTATCCCAAGGGCGTGTTTTTTTTTTATGTATCAAATATAATTTTACGTGATACTGTCCCCATTTTATAATGGTCAGGGGTGTTTGATCTGCATTTCCAATTTGGGAAAAATCATAATTATGTTTCTTTCTCAATTTTATCACGAACTTTTGGAACTTAAGAAATTTTTTTTCTTGATCGTCTGGAATATGCTGCGCAATAGTGGTTCTTCTACGAACAGAAAGCCCATTTCGTTTCATGAAACAAACTGCCCATCCGTACAAAGCTTTGAATTGTGTTGCGTTGGCACAAGATTTTTTTGACTTCTAGAGCTTTCAGTCTGATTTCAATGCACGAAACTCCGATACCTTGCTGTCTCTTATCTACTACCCACTCCATTACAGCCTTTTCCAGTTCTGGAAAACTAGGTCGTAATCCCCGATTCGACTTTTTCTTCCTGGGCATAATTTGTAGAGCTTCTTTGTTTTTTCGCCACAATCGAACATTTGCTTCGTTTACGGAAAAGTGACGACTTGCTTCTCGATTTCCGTTAGACTCAGCATATTTAACTATTGATAATTTTTCTGCTGCCTTATAGGACCATCTTGAAGACATTTTTACGGAAATAAATAAAATAATAAATTTTTGTACTTGCAATAAATATCACTTATTAGATGAACGCGTGTGCGATACGCACAGTGAGTTCGGTTTTAGTAACCTTTCTTTAAACATGCGGTTGAATTGCGCAGTAAAGATGTAAGCAGCTGTGCTATACGTTTGTTCATTGTTTAAAAACAACTATTTTTTTGATCTCGAGTATAATACGCACCCCAATTTTTTTGAAAGAAAATGTGAAAAAAAAGTGCGTATTATAATCAAGATTTAACGGTAAGATTAATTTTAAAAACTGATAACATTATTTAAAATGTGAAATTCATCATAAACTTTGCGTAATTAAAATGTTACATATTTCTTTTTTTAATATTATTGTATGAATATCTGCTCAATATAAATTTTAATATCATGTTAGTTTCATTTCACTGTCATAAGTAAAAATTAAAGTAAATTCATCGTACAATAGCATCGTACTAAGCTTTGCGTAGTTTACAGAAAGATTTGTTATTATAATCTTGGAATTATGATAACAGTATTTAAAACTTAACGCTTGAATAGACTTAAAATAAACATTTTTTTTTTTTCAATCCATGCACTATTCAGTGTTCCGAGTTACATCATTAACTTATGATAATTATGCGAAACTATTTACGGCTGTCATGTTGGTTCACAAACAAATAAACAAAGCATAGTCATGTCTTTAGCCAAAAGCAAATATTTTACTTGTCTTTCTGTTGAAAGCAAGCAACGATATCTTCATAAAATTTCTCAAATAAATAATTTAGATCCTTACAGTTTAGTGCAATCTGACTTGGTGTTTTCAGTAGATTTTTATCCTAAAATAGGTTACCCTGATATTGTAAGTTATTTAATGTTTGCTCCATCTCCTATATCCGCTAATGAACTAAAGTGCTATAAAAGTTTGGAGAATTTTTTCCTCTCTGGTTGCGTCAAGGAAATCGGTTTAAAGTTATTTGATGAAAAATGTTTGGTTATTGGAAAGGTAACAAATTTTTATATTTGTATTTTATTAAAAAAAAGTTTATCGTTAAATTAAACATAGTTTTATTTTATCATATTGCAGGTTTATCATTCTTAAAAGCATAAAGAAACGGCAGCTTCAACATGGATTATTTCTGAAATGGATGGTAAAGTAATATATGCTCATTGTAACTGCATGGCTGGTCTCCGAAAGACATGTTCTCACATTGGAGCAGTTTTATTTTATATTGATGCTGCTGTCAGAATTCGTGATTCTAAGACAGTTACAGAAAAAAAAGCATATTGGATGCTTCCATCTTCAATCAAAGATATTCCATATGCAGAATGCATTGATATAGATTTTACCTCCCCAAATACTTTAAAACGAAAATTTGATGAAGAAATATTAAACGAATCTACCTGTAGTGGATTTCTAAATGATAAAAAAAGCGATGCATTATCAAGTAGTTATATTTGCACTCCTCCAACTCAGAATGAACTTGATGCATTTTTCAATGATCTGAGCCTCTGCAAGTCAAAGCCAGCTATTTTGTCGATTATATCCCCTTACAGTGTAGATTACCAACCCTCATCGTTAAAATTGCAATTTCCAAAAATGTTGCGGGAACTTTATGATTCTTCAGCTTTATCTCTTAGTTACCTAGATTTATGTAAACAATGTGAAACTTTAAGTTTGTCTGTATCGGAGGTTGAGCAGTTTAATGTTGAGAAAGCTACAAGAGAGCAAGTTTTTTCAAAAAAATGGTTTTATTTTCGAGCAGGGAGAATTACAGCATCAAACATGTATGTTGTATTACACACGCTTGAAGCCATGCCTGCCTTATCATTAATTAAAAAAATTTGTTACCCTGAAAGTTACAAAGTTAGTTGATGTCAAACTAAATGGGGAATAGACAATGAAAAGATTGCTTTAGCAAAATATTTTGATATTGTAAAACATCATCATGTTAATTTTAAAATTATAAAGTGTGGGTTTTTTATATCGACAGAGTATCCTTTCATAGGTGCTTCTCCAGATGCTTTAATATCTTGTGAATGCTGTGCTGAAGGATGTGTTGAAACTAAAAGTCCTGCTAACCATAAAGACAATTTTATATTAGAAGCTATTGGTAAAGGTATGACATTTTGTATACAAATAATGAACACTGAAAAAAAGCTCAAACAAACACACCCATATTACTTTCAAATTCAAACTCAGTTGCATACATGTAAAAAAAAGTTTTGTGATTTTTTTGTAAATACATCTAAAGATTATCACTTAGAAAGAGTTTATCCAGATAATTCTATATGGACAGCCTGCGTTACTAAGTGTCAGCAAGTATTTAGCAGTTCTATCTTGCAGGAATTAGTTGGTAAATTTTTTACAAGAGATACCAAAAATATGGATTTTGACTTTATTGATGATCACAATTTATATTGTTATTGTAATGGCAATGAAAATGGTGAGTTATTTCCTTGTGCAGGAAAGAGTTGCAAAATTAAACTTTTTCACTTGGTATGCCTAAAATTGAATAATAAACCAAAAAAGATTGGCTGTGTCCTGATTGTCATAAAAAAAATAATTAGTATCTAAATGTGAGCATCGATTTAAATACTTGTAATAAAAGACTTTATTTACTTATTTTAAATTTTTTTTATATGATGTTTCAGTCTGATTAACTCAGACGATCATCAAGCGTAATAATTTATAAATAAAAAAATGATTTTTTTAATTTTATGTCTGATGATGGTATGAACTAATTAGTCTGAAATATTACGTGAATAAATTAAAAAATAGTACTTAGCTGTGTTTTATATTATTATATATTATAAAGAGTATGAAGTTCAATTTAAACTAAAAAATTTTTTAGTGTTCAATGGTTTTGACTATTTAAGGTTTCCAACATCCCCGAATCGAGGGAGTTGTAAATTTTACATGGTCATAACTTTAGAACATTAAAAGATTAATAAATGAAAATTAAAAACTGTGTGTGAATTCAAATTTAGTGTAAGATAGTATATTAAAATAGTATCTTAATTCATTTCTCTTATGATTGGGGTAGGATAGTGGATATCTTTTATGGTATTTTTGTTCCTAGACTCACCTACAATTTTTTGCAAAACTTATGTGTTATATCTAAAATATCAATAAATCCCACCCCTCCTGGTTTTATTGTGTTAACTGTTCCAATACTATTTTTCGTATCCGTTCTTAAGTTTTTTTATGCAATGTGGTTTTTATAAATAACATTTTGACACAGCATTTACTCAATAACAGTGCCATTTAAGCACAATGCAGTCTCGCCTTGTTTATTACTCAAACCTCTATATATATGTGGGAAAAGATATCTAGTTAGCAAGGAGACAGCCACTCGACTCTTAATTAGATCTTTATTAGCAACCCTACTCGTTAATTAAAATTTTTTTTTCAATTCCTACCCAGGGCATTTTTTCCTCCCACCCTCTCTTTTCACTACTTATTAGAGATTTAGAAGTAACTATTTTTAAAAAACATGTATTTTCATTCGCTTCTGTTTATAAAAGATTGTATTTTGATATTGAATTATTAAAAAAAACAACAACTATAAAATACCGTTTAACCCCCATACAAGTGTGGAACTATGGATATTTGACTTTCACGCACAAAAAAACTATCGTAAAACAGGGCTTGAAATATGGAGATGGTTCAAGGGGCATTGCTATTTAACATCTGACGAACCTTAGCTAGAGAAAGTGTTATATAAACTTGAAATAAAAAATAGAATTGCTTTGCTAAATATATAAAC